CTTTTCAGCTCACGCCTCATTTAAACGATGAATTCATCCTATAAACAACTAGTATATTTTTGGACACTGTGAGTCATGCGGAAGGAATAAGAAGTAACTGGCAGATATTCCACCGAATGTTGCTTTTATTTATTATTCCAAGAGGAAACGTGACCTGAAGAAAAAGGGGATCATGGTTCAATAAAAAAAGACAGATTCAAAAGTGTCATTGTGATCGCCTGTGTTATATCAGGAAGGACTTGTTGTTTAACCTCACATCATCTGGTGGCTTAAGCCAAATGAATGAACACCAACAGCCTTGACCTTAAAACCTGGATTAGGTGGTTAGATATCCCATTAGGGTATGCGCCGTATTGAACTTGACTACATCGAAGCTACATGCTACTAAAGAGGAAATCGATGAAGGGGTTTGGACCAAAAAAGCCCAATGCAGATAGTCATGGACCAGTGAGACGACCACCACCAGCAACACCTACTTGTGCATTCAGTTGATCCAGAAACGATTGTCCCATTGCCGGTTGTGAAACCACTCTATTCAGATCCTCAATGTATTTGCGAGCTACTTCCAATTCCCGAGGTAGCTTTTCCGAAACCATGTATTGATTCACTTTCATCTCCTCCTCCATACGTTGCAACAGAGCTGTGGAGAAACATCAAAACACAAATGAGAAAGATTAAAACTATGGAAAATAAACCATTTGCCCCAAAAATTGAAACCTACATGTAAACAAACGAGACAGTGAACAGTGACTATTGTTTGTACGATCGATTAGACTAATCTGAAAACAAAACTATTTTAGAATTTGTGAAGCGTGATCTGGGAAATCCCAGATGTTAGAGTCCGTGAACGGATCTATATTATAATATTCATACGTTTCAACTGTTCTCCACCAATCACGTCACTCTTTGGGGGCTTTAGGGTCTCGGCTCTCAACCCAAAGTTCGTTGTTTCTTGCCTCAATAGAGAAACAATAATTACACCGAGTGGTTTACGATTCACGTCAGCATAACTGATCCGGTGATGCCATCATATTCAGTGCTCGGTTGATAGGAATCCGGTGGAGTTTGTTTTTCCCTCGAATCACTCGCCACATAGATCTAATACAGCTCCTCCTCCGTCCACAATAAAAATAAATCCGAATCTTGATGATTATTTTGAATAAGTCGGGAAAAGAAGACCCCAGTGTTTGGTAGTTTGCATCATTCGCACCCAAAAGATAAGTAAATGGTCGAACCACGCAAACCAGTCAGCTAGTTTTAAACGATATTTTGGTTTTAGCACTGCAAGAAATGCCCGCCTTGATTTGCCCTGAAAAACACTTCCTACCGAGGGGTTGTTTCTGCATGCCGTTATCCACAAACGTAAATTGGAAAACCAACCTACGATGGTTGTGAATGTTCTCTAAATTCGACGAAANGAACTTATATCTTTCAGTCAAAAAAGCGTTCAGTGATTGAAACAAAGAATTAACCATCAATTGTATCGAAAATCGAGCATTTTGATAGCTGTCAGATAATGTACACGAACATGGTTAGATGCATGCCAACAATGAGACTTGGCAGTAACGCTTTCAAAGCATGCCATTTTCCAATCCTGTTGGTTCAATCGCCTTTCAGGATCATCCACTATGATTTCGGTATGTTAAGTTCGGAGCTCCGTTTTGATGTAACTTTATGTGGTGCTCCATGTCATTTTTATGGGATTTAACGCTTGAGAATATGGAGCAAGTCTGAGGATGCTGTTTCTTTCTCCGGCGACCACGTTTTCCAGTTTTGAGTGAGAGCGCGCATTGTCACAAACAATCACATACGATTTGTGCTCTTCTTGCAATAATTGATTGAGAAGTGTTTGCAACCTTTGCAGGCACAGGACGGAGTTGTAAGACTCTCTCTTCAGATTGTAGTTCAATAATCCGTCAGCATTCATAGCCCCTATGTTGTGCAGATTTCTTCCTTTTGAACTTGCTATAGATATTTGACACCTGTAACCTTTTAATGCACGCCTAAAGTTGATTGAACAATGTAGAGTGAAGTCGGTTTCATCAATCTTTATAATCTGATGTCCGAGAGCCTTGTATCATTTCGCTGTTGAACACAACTAAGAAAAAATGATTTAAAAGCAGGTTGTTGTGTTAACTTCTCCACTTCTCTTTATTATCAAGGAAGTTCATCGTTACTAGTTTTTGATATATCTTTACGATTGTAAACTGTTTTCCATCCAACTGTAACACTTGGCAACCGCGCCAGTAGTATTTTATCGTGAGTGCTGGTGTCTCACTAGACGTTTTCGGTCCATGGCGTTTTTTGCTTTGCCTTGCAGGTTTAGCTTCAACCCCGACCCACGGGAGATCTGTTTG